GTTTCCCCTTTTCCATTTTTTGTACACATCCTTTTTAATCTTAACTCAGTTAAAAGTTCTTTAGATAGCCACCCTGGCTTCTTTAGGCACCTTCCATGTTTCTGTCTCATTGGTATTGCCTGACGTTGTGCTTTTAGTATCTCCCTCTTAACAAACTCCCAGCCATCATGAACTCCCTTTCCTTTTAGTATTACTGTCCAGGGGATCTCACCCAGCACTTCCCTAAGTTTTACTTTGGCCACTTCAAAAGAAGAGAAGACTCCCTGGAAAAGACCCTGATGTTGGGAAAGATGGAGGGCACAAGGAGAAGGGGATGACAGAGGACGAGATGGTTGGACAGTGTTCTCGAAGCTACCAGCATGAGTTTGACCAAACTGTGGGAGGCAGTGGAAGACAGGAGTGCCTGGCGTGCTCTGGTCCATGGGGTCACGAAGAGTCGAACATGACTAAACGACTAAACAACAAGAACAACAAGATCGGCAGGTTTATCACACATTAAGCCAGGGGTCAGCAAACTTTTTCAGCAGGGGGCTGGTCCACTGTCCCTCAGACCTTGTAGGGGGCTGGACTATAGTTTGAAGAAAAGAAATGAACGAATTCCTATGCCCCACAAATAACCCAGAGATGCATTTCAAATAAAAGCACACATTATACTCATGTAAAAACACGCTGATTCCCGGACCGTCCGCAGGCTGGATTTAGAAGGTGATTGGGCCAGATCCGGCCCCTGGGCCTTAGTTTGGCTACGCATGCATTAAGCCTTCTAGAAATGGAGGTGTTGGGACTCTAGTCTGCTGTGGATTCCAAGAGTTATCAGGGGGCGATTCCCCCACCAGGTTCTAGGCAAGGAAGGGTGGGGGAGTGCAGCAAACGAAACTCCTCGAACAGTTCTCACCTCTAGAAGAACTTCTGGTTCTAGATTACTCCCTGGTTTAGTGGCAAAAGGACCTTGCTTCTTGTTGCTCCCTTTCATAGATCTGCTTCTGCTCCCCCACCGCCAGCCTTGCTGAGCTCCATCATCTCATCCCTGCCTCCCCCCGCCCCCACAAACTTGGCAATATCTGGGGCCGATAGGTGCCCTGCCAAAAGAAACTGCTACGTTTCCTTTGCCAGCTTTTCTAAAGGCCTTGAAATATTGAAGCAATGAGCCGAAGGTTTTTATCTCAGGGAGTTTGCACAAGCAGCAATAAATATTAACAGGAGCACCTCTACGCCCTCGCAGCTTATGCGGCGGCTTAAAGCTCCCAAGGATATTGGTCAGGCGCCTGTTCTTGCAAAATTGCACTCTGCATGCAGCTCTTGGTTATTTGCATGGCGAGTGCATCCAGCCTCTTTTGCAAACTTGGCAGTCTTCACCAGGGCCCTGTACGGCAAGGTCAGTGCCAGCCCCATTTCACAGAGAAAGAACTGAGGCTGAGAATTTAGTGGGGATTTGATCTGCCACCCTTTTCCTGGCATTACATTTATCCCTTTAATGGCTGCATAAATGGGAGAAATCCATCAGGAACAGCATTTCCCACTATTGCGTCTCCATAATGTAGGGCAGGGGTCAGCAAACTTTTTCAGCAGGGGGCCAATCCACTGTCCCTCAGACCTTGTGGGGGACCAGACTATATTTTGGGGAAAAAATAATGAACAAATTCCTATGCCCCACAAATAACCCAGAGATGCATTTTAAATAAAAGGACACATTCTACTCATGTAAAAACACGCTGATTCCCGGACTGTCCACGGGCCGGATTTAGAAGGCGATTGGGCAGGATCCGGCCCCCGGGCCTTAGTTTGCCTACCCATGATGTAGGGTGTTAAGTTGTGGGTGAACATATCAGACGACACAGCGATTCTTCAAACAGCTCTTGTTTATTCACAGGCCAGAACAGAACTGAACTGAAGGGTTCAGCCAGCCTGCTTATATAGAGCTCCACTAGAACGCAACAGTAACCATTTTATGTAACTGTCGAATCAATGAACGTCACTTTCAATCCCTTATTTGCATATGTGGACCTGAGTGAAAACTATCTACAGTATTCCCCCTGCTGGCCCAGGGTGAGAACTTCAGTACAAAACATAGGGGGATGAAAATGAGGGTGGTACAAGCTGCATTGCTTGCCATTCACCTGTGCCTTCCCAAGCAATCCTGTGTTGAAACCCAGTCTGGCAGCCCAGAGTCCATTTCTCTAGCAACCCGATTAATTTTTATTGTTTTGGAAATGCACCTCAAAAAACTTCCCTGTGTCTATTTTCAGATGGTTGTCTTTAGCACTTCCAGTAATCCAACGGAAAGCTGGGGTCTGTTGACATTAAACTCTTTTGATTCCTCGTGTGTTTATTTGTCCACTGGTGCTCAATTAAAAGTGAAATGAGGCCAGTGTGGGGGATGCTGATACTCTTTGTCTTCTTTACTGTTGTCAGGGAGAGGCAAATGGGAAAGGAGGAAAGGACAGAAACCAGCAGTTATAGAGAGCCTAAAGAGATTATCAGCAGCTTCTCGTCTGAGAGTAGGTCTGACGTAGAGGGGGAGGAGGATGAGCCTGGAACTAGTCATTCTGTGCACAGAGGAAGTAAGGGGAGGAGTTTTCGCAGACTTGCATGCTGGGTGCGGAAAAGGAAGAAGAAAGATTAGAGGGAGCAACTGCGCACAAGGGGAAGGACGCTAATTGAAATGCTGGAGATGTACGTTTGAACTTTGTCAAATAAATCAAATTGTTTGGAACTGGCTGGGAGCCCGGAGCATTAAGCCTCTGACAACTGTTATTATCATCAATTCATTAATTACAAAAAAGCAAAAAAAACCCAACCTCCCCCCCCCCAGCAACTCACAGTTAGCAAAACAACAACCACCAGCTGGATATATTTAAAACAGAGGTTCCAAAAATGGGTGGTACTACCCCTTAGGGGGCAGCGGGATTATCTTGGGGGGCACCAAGAGGTGAGGGGGTGGCAGGGGTTTCTGGAGGTGTAAATAAAAACTAGACTTTAGAAAGATGGTATCCCTTCATCAAGTTCATCCATTTTGTGCAGTTAATTCAGCTAAATGGTTCTAATTGACTTTTGAATAAATGTGCAATATAATTATTACTGCCTTGAATGCCTTGCTTAGTGGGTCATGCAAACCGCTGTTCCGAAAAATGCTTTTTATAGGGTAGGCGGCATTGGGGACAAGTTTATGGAACCCAGGGGACAACAGTGGCCCCCAAAAGTTTGGGAACTACTGATTTAAAACGAAACTAAAACATTACAAAATAGACCCTCGTCGCACGGACTCGTTTATCCAGTTGGTAAAGCCTGTCAGAATAAAAAATAATAATAATTTGTTTCCAGGAAGCGCAGAAAGTGTGTGCCTGTGTTATCTCAACAGGAATGCACTTCCACAGAACAGGAGCAGCCACACTCAAAGCCCCAGGGCAAATTACCACAGTGGGCTTCTGAGATCTTTGGAGCAGCAACTTTCCGACAGATCGCCGGATATATAAGAGAGAAGGCGGTCTCTCTAGTGCTTGGGTCCTGAGCTGTCTAGGGTCCAACACCTTAAACCTGGCCCAGTTTCAAGGCTGGAGATGGATGCAGGTATAGCACGAAAGACTCAAGGCTCCCTTGTCAATGAAGTTAACTCTTTATTCAAGGAAATGGCATACAACTCAGCAACACTTCCCAGCAGGTCTTGCTCCTATAGTCTTGCTCCTTCTGGCCTCCGTTCTGCCTTCCTCCTTATCTGGTGGGAGTCACCTCAAGGGGGAGAAACTGCTGGGAATAAGCACCCTGGCGTCTCCGCTTCTGGGATGCTATTGGGAGCCAAAGACAATGTCCACATGGAAGGGGCAAAAAGATGGTGGGGAAGTGAGAGACTGGGAGATTCTGATATCATATAGATATGATGGTGTGCACTGAAAATCGTGCTCCATGTTGTAACCTGCTCTCTAGTCTTTTGATGAAAGGCAGTACAGTGGTACCTTGGGTTAAGAACTTAATTCGTTCCGGAGGTCCGTTCATAACCTGAAACTGTTCTTAACCTGAGGTACCACTTTAACTAATGGGGCCTCCCGCCACACCGCTGACGCATGATTTCTGTTCTCATCCTGAGGTAAAGTTCTTAACCCAAGGTACTACTTCCGGGTTAGCGGAGTCTGTAACCCGAAGTGTTTGTAACCTGAGGTGTTTGTAACCTGAGGTACCACTGTATATAAATTTAATTATAATAACTGCAAATGAGTTGGCCAAATAGGGAAGGGGATCTTTGAGCCCAGCTTTAGAAACATTTAGGGTTGCCATATTCCCAAAATTGAAAATCCAGACAAAGCAGGGTTTGTTTGTTTTTTGCTTTTGTTTTGGCAACATCTCCCCTCAAAACTTAAGTTTTTGGGATGGAGGGGTAGAAAACAATATCTCCCAACTTGCCAATTCAGCAAAAATCCACCCAGACGCCATTTTTGCAGCCCGATTCCTGGACGTATCCAGGAAATCCAAGACATATGGCAGCCCTAAAATATTGGAAGCCTATTTGTTTTATTATTTCTGTTGTCTTTCTCCTCTCTTTTCTTCCTTCCTTTGCCTTCCTCTCTTTTCTTTTGTTGTTTCTCTCTCTTTCTTTCTTTTTATTTCATTTCTTCTAGATATAATTTTATTATATTGTGAAAACTTTAATAACTATTTTTTTGAGGGGGGGAGGAATACTAGAAGCTGGTTTATACTGAGTCAGACCACTGAGCACAGTACAGTCATACCTTGTGTTACAGACGCTTTGGGTTGCACGATTTTGGGTTGCGCACCACGCCGAACCCAGAAGTACCAGAACGGGTTACTTCTGAGTTTCGGCGCATGCGCAGAAGCGCTAAATCGCACTTTGTGCATGAGCAGAAGCACCGACCTGCGACCTGCGCGTGTGCAGACGTGGAGCTGCGGGTTGCGGACACTGCGGGTTGTGAACATGCTTCCCGCACGGATCACGTTCGCAACCCGAGCGTCCACTGTAGTGGCAGCCACTGTCTAATGTGCCAGGATGCTGGAGATGCTGGGGCTTGAACCTGGGACCTTCTGCATGCAAAGCAGATGCTCTACCACTGAGATACGGACCTTCCCCATTGGCCTTAGTTCTAAGAGAGTCTATAGCCCTCTTGATGGCAGGAAAAATCCTGGACAGTGCAGCCTACAAGTGCCTTGCTGTATTTGGTATTTCTGTTCTTTCACTTTAAAGGGCCATTTTGCTCATTAACCTTTTCCTATGTGAAGAGCTCTTCTGTGTAGGAAAATGAAAGAGAACCCATTAATGTCCAATCTGTAGCCACAAGTTTTTCAAACCTAAATAGCTCTACTGCTGTATCCCTGAGATGCTCTTTTGAGCTCATAAAGACCCTTGTGCCCTTTCCAGAGGATCATCTTAAAGGTGACTCGAGATCTGCTATCAATAACAAATGGGGAAGATTTCCTCGGAGAATTTCCGTAAGGAGGCATAAAGATAAAATGTCAAGCCACATAGACTTGAAAGTGGCTTTTGTATTCATTACCGATGTCAAGGCTTCCACTCTCTGGAAACTTAATTCTAAAGACATTCTGGCTGCCTCCTCTAGGGCAAAGCCCTCACACTGTGTAACTTGTATAGAAAGCACACGCATACAGGAAAAACTTCAAAAGGCACATTATGATCCAGTCAGCAGTTTAAACCCTTTTGGAAAATGGCAGTATGAAATTCATGGAAGCAATTTAAAGGCAGCTGTTCATAATTCGATCCACCGTCTCAATGAAATATGGCCTGAAAGAGAAGGGGTTTCAGCACCTGCTTAAAATCCTGTACTGATGGATCCCTTGGGATGCAGTTCCAAAAACATGAGGCCACTACCAAAAAGGCGCTGTCATCATCAGTGCCCATGTATCTGACAGGTGATAGATTTATAAACCTTCAAAGCCAATCTTAAGGCCTGAACAAATTCATATGGTGTGTTGTTGTTGTTTGTTTTAATTAGTTTTTATTAAGTTTTTTTGTGTTACAAAGCAAACAGATAGACAGGGAAAGGTACATCTATAGTCTCCATTTTCAATTCATGGGTTTTTTTTCACAGTTCGTTTACATTTGGGGAGAGACACTTTTGTCATAGACATCTTGCAGTTAGGGGAAAGGAGAGGGTGGGGAGAGAGATAGGGGTATTCTTTGGCTGAACAGATTCATATGGTTAAAAGTCATCAATCGACTGGCAGATGTGTGGCTCCCAGATGTTGAGCTCTTAACTCCCACCAGCCCCAGCCAACACCAACTAGAGTACAGTGGTACCTCGGGTTAAGTACCGGTACTTAATTCGTTCCGGAGGTCCGTTCTTAACCTGAAACTGTTCTTAACCTGAAACACCACTTTAGCTAATGGGGCCTCCTGCTGCCCCCGCGCCGCCGGAGCACAATTTCTGTTCTCATCCTGAAGCAAAGTTCTTAACCCGAGGTAATATTTCTGGGTTAGCAGAGTCTGTAACCTGAAGTGTATGTAACCTGAAGCATATGTAACCCAAGGTACCACTGTACAGTCAAGAATGATGGGAGCTGGAGTCCAGCAACATCTGGAGAGATACAGGTTCCCTAGCTCTGATTTAGGGCTTAAAAGCCATTACCAGCACTTTTAAATTTGGCCAAGGTAGCAACTGCCTTTCTATCCTTCATGCATTCTAGATTATAGCCTGGACATGAATGGCTGAGAATTATTTAATTATCAGCTGGATTGTTGGCGTGCTCTTTTGTAACATGCATCTGTAAGATGTCTTTTATACTCTAGCCTTGCAATTGAGTTGGTTTTATTTCATGCTGATGAGTTTTATTAATATTGCCTCTAGTGCGTCTTTTGTCTGTGTGTTCTGCTTTTGTTACGCTCAAGGACCAAAACAAATGAACTTGAACAGAACTGAAAGGAGGATTAAATGAGAGAAATCCTTTTTTTATTTTCCAGATTTGTGATGCGATAGAACAGCTCCAGGAAGCTCTGAAACTGTGCAAGGATGATATGAATTCCCTTCATTTGCTGGCCCTCCTTTTTTCAGCTCAAAAGCACCACCAACATGCGCTGGATGTCATCAACATGGCCCTGGCAGAATATCCAGACTGTTTTAAGTAAGCAATGTTAAGAGAACGTATGCAATGCCTTACAGTATTAAGGAGTCTAAAGCAGGGTTTCCCAAAATTGGTCTCCAGCTGTTGTTGGACTACAACTCCCATCATCCCTAGCTAGCAGGACCAGCAGTCAGAGATGATGGGCTTTGTAGTCCAAAACCAGCTGGAGACACAAGTTTGGGAAACCCTGGTCAAAAGTACTTGTACATCTAGGGGAATGCATCTTTTGTTGGCACTAAGAATATATATAAGTTTGGACATCTGGGCAAAGATACAAGTTTGGGTGTAGGGCATATTTTGTTTGTATGGCGGGGAAAGGCTGGAGCATTTGGGACTTTTGGAAAAAGAAAGTCGAGAAAGGGCAGACATTATAGAAGTGTACATGCTTGTGCACTGTGTGCTTAAAGTTGATACAGAGACATTTCTCTCTCTCTCTCATTCACTAGAACACTAGAACTGGAGTACCGTCTAGACCAGGGGTTGTCAACCTGATCCCTACAGCCCACTAGTGGGTGTTTCAGGATTCTAGGTGGGTGGTAGGGGGTTCTACGGCACAAGCTGAATCCTCCTTCCATTGAGCACTGGTGGGCAGTAAGGAAATTTTACCATCAAGAAAGATGCATTAGTGGGCGGTAGGTATAAAAAGGTTGACTATCCCTGATCTAATCCAACCCCCTGGAATCTTTTGCCCAACGTGGGACTCAAACACGTGACCTTGAGATTAAGAGTTTCCTGCTCTACAGCAGTATTTATCTGAATGCCCGTTGCTGGGGGACATGAGTGGGGAGGGTGCCGTTGCCCTTAGTCCTCCTTTGAGACTTCCCATAGGTATCTGATTGGCCCCTGTGGGAACAGAATGCTAAGCTTCAGTCTGAGCCAGCAGGACTTTTCTTGCAGGATCCAAGACTCTGTCTTCAGCAACTCCAGTAAAAGGACCTCAAGTAGCAGAGCTAGGAAGAGCCTTTGTGTTAGATTTTGGAGAGAGCTAACTGCTAAATTTCCGGGTGCTCTGCTTTTCTGAGCTGATTCTGTATTAGGCAACTCCTTGGGCTCCACATATCTGTTCATACGTGTTTGGTGCATATCTGTTTACTGCATATCTAAAACATTGACATGGTGCCTTGGAGAGTAAACTCTTTCCTGGGAGCTTGCAATGAAAGCACAGAAGTGCAGTGTGGTGGAGCACAGGGCAGTTCAATGCAGAATACAAGGGTAGCAGGTAATAAAACAGAGGAAGTGTGGGTGATGGGAAGGTCAAGCACTCCTCTTCCACAGTGATTCTCTGTTCCGAACTTCGCCTCTCAAAGCTATTTGCATGTCGAGGTCCCCAAGCCACCCCCTAAATAAATCACAATTCACACAGAATTTTTGTTTAAGGTTTTTGGCATAATTTTGGCCACAACTTTATTAAAATACATAATGTGAGTGGTTGCTTAGGCATTGGTTACGACTATCTGTCTCCACCCAGGGACAGAACTGACTTCCGCAACCCTGCTAAAGTCAGTAAGGGAAAACATTTGGGGAGAGGATGGAGCTGGGCGCCAGACCCTCACCTCTCCCCGCATGCTCCCAGGGGCTTGCATGGCCCATGCCCCTTACTAGGGATTCGGATAAAAGCATGGCGAGCCCCTGGATTCCTTTAATGGAATTCCCTTGCAGCAACAGCATTGGAGGGGCAGGCACAGCCAGTCCTTACCCCTCCACCAACCAGTTTTAACCAATGTCTAACTGCGACCTTACAAGTTGTGACAATTTGCTATTTGTCGTTGTTTAGTCGTGTCCGACTCTTCATGACCCCATGGACCAGAGCACGCCAGGCACTCTTGTCTTCCACTGTCTCCCATAGTATGGTCAAACTCATGCTGGTAGCTTCAAGAACACTGTCCAACCATCTCGTCCTCTGTCGTCCCCTTCTCCTTGTGCCCTCCATCTTTCCCAACATCAGGGTCTTTTCCAGGGAGTCTTCTCTTCTCATGAGGTGGCCAAAGTATTGGAGCCTCAGCTTCACGATCTGTCCTTCCAGTGAGCACTCAGGGCTGATTTCCTTAAGAATGGAGAGGTTTTGATCTTCTTTCAGTCCATGGGACTCTCAAGAGTCTCCTCCAGCACCAGAATTCAAAAACATCAATTCTTCGGCAATCAGCCTTCTTTATGGTCCAGCTTTCACTTCCATACATCACTACTGGGAAAACCATAGCTTTAACTATATGGACCTTTGTTGACAAGGTGATGTCTCTGCTTTTTAAGACAAAGACAATTTGCTATGCAGTAGGCAAAAACCAAATAGCACCAGCCAATCAGCCAAATGGACAAAATTCCTACCAGGCCCCTGCCCTAAAAGCAGACGACCCCATGACAGGCATAGCAAGGTCAGACACACAAGCCCTAACTTAGGGAGGGTGGGCGGGTGATCCGATGCACGCAGCAAAAGGGAACGTTAGATGCTGCGTGCTAAGTATATAAAAACCCTCAAGCCATCCCACAAATTGGCAACATCATAATTTGCCCAACAACCCAGAATAGCCGATCACAATCCTGGACATTTAAACAATCCCACCCAGCAACCAAGAGGGGGTGTCCTGTTAGACCCCACCGCAACACGTGCTCTCCATGAAGGAGAACACGCGTTGTTAAAGCGCCTCTTATCGCATGTTTGCTCAGCCCCTGAAAGCGGTGGTGACACCGGGGAGATTGAGGAGCCTGTGTGAAGAAATCAAGGGTGGATGGTTTGCAAAAGTGCAGCCAATTAAAATGTGCATAGTGATAATAATGAAAAGTCAGCGGTCCAGAAACCAGCACAGGAAAATTCAGGGGAGAGAGGCTGCAAGGTCTCTGGCTTCGAAACAAAAATGCGTACTTCCTGAAACTGAGCCTTGCCTTTGCTACAAACCAGATTTAAATCTCCTATTGCTCAGGCTGCCGTGAAGGGAAACAATAGCTCAAAATTGGCACAGAATGATTTATCACAACAAGATAAGCAGGTTTGAT